TGCTGACATTATGTGCCTTTTCATTGGGTGTCCCCTATGCCTAGAATACTCAACCTCCTGACAGGAAAATTAACTATATATACGTGATAGATAGGAAATAATTAACAGAGGGAAGACATTAGGATTAAGGGAGATCAGGAAAAGGCTTCTTGCAGAATGTGGGACTTTAGCTGAGATTTAAAAGCAGTCAAGCAAGTCAGTATTCTAATCATTAATAAATCAATTTATCCCAATCATTGATAAAAATCTTTAAAAAGCACATGTCCAAGCTCAGATTCCTGGGGCTTTCCACTGCAAGCCTTGTTCTAAAATGACACTGAATCATTTGAATGACTCTTCTCTGAGTGAAGCCATCCAATTAGTTTTGGATCTGTCTAAAGGCATTATTGTCTAGTATACAGCTCTTTCTCTTTTCCACAAGAACAGCATGAGATGCATTATCAATTTTTTTGCTATTTCCCTGGTCTATCAGTTTGACATCATTGAAGAAGAAGTTAATATTGTACTGTGTTGTAGGCCTACAGAATAGTTTTAAAAATAATTTTAAATTATTCTAAATCCAAACATTGTTCTTGTCAGAAATATCCAAACTGACAGTTCCTTCATGCCTCAGGCATCTCTCCATATAAGTTTCTTTGAAGTCCCAATTTATATAACTCTTGAACAAGCAATATTTCAGTCAAGATAAAGCAATGGCTTATAGTTTAGGTAACAATTTCCTTCATTAAATAAAATAATTTAATTAAATTTCAGTACACTCCTGGAGAATCATTTTCCTGAGACCACTGAATTCCTCTTTGACCACTCTATTCAAAGATTCTCTTTTCCAGCTGGTTAATACTGACTTAACTTCCATTTTAACAATATTACTCAAAGAAAATTTTTACTTCTAATCATTATCTTAATCCCTAGAGCATGAGTATAAAGGATATTGCTCTTATGTTGATCAATAAAGGGTTCCTTACCCTTGACTGTGAACATTCTAATTACTTCAGGGAGGAGTCCTTCCTGAGCTGATTGGAGAGAGGGGAGAAGGATATTGTTTTGAAATTGATAGTGTAACATGTTGATAGTGTAACATGAGAAAATTCCAAAAGACAAAGTTCCAGGTATGAAAAATCAATTTATTAATTAGGCTAACAATCAATAAATCAAGGTCAGTGGCCTCTCTCAGTAACCCAAAAATGAAAAGGGAGTTTCTGGGTCACCTCAAATCCCATGTTTTCCTTCTGACAGAGACCTCCCCTAACAAGCGACAAGCAACCCTGATTAGTAGATATTTAATGAAGAGGTAGGCTAAGAATTATCTATTCCTCCTGCTGAGAACATGGCCTGGTCATTAGATTCAGTAGCCTCAAGCAATCTGGGCAAGGGAAGCCATCGTGGATCTCTCTGGCTAGGTTTTTCCTGGCTGGGTCACCCCAAACTCTGATGAAAGGAACAAGGACACACAAGAAGCTCTTGGTAGCGTAGACTAGATCTGTCTGGTTTCTGTTTAGAGGGTTAAGAGAAAAGACGACTCCAAGTCTTAGGAGGCAGGAATGTAATGACATTCCTTAGCTAGAAGAGGCTGAGTAAGTTTTCTCTGTAAGCTAGTATAAGAGATGGCTTTTTGAACAGAGAAGAGAATGTTACATATTATTATTAATAATAAAATAATACAGCATTAAAGGTAATTTTCCTCAACCATTAATGACTGATACACACACACACACTTCTAAGCAATTTGCTGATCATCGCTTGTCCTTGTGGGCATAGGAAATAATAAGGGGAAAAAAGGAGAAAAGGGATGAAAGTGGAGGAATGGGGAGGAGGCAAATTTCCCCCAGTTCACTGGCCTCATTCAATTTTTCTATTCCCTTCTGCCTCAACCCCCCTCACCCCCCAAAAAATACCCTTTTCTTCTTGTTACTACAACAAAGTTTGGTAGGATTCTGAGAGGACTCTGAAGTTTTTTGTGCATGCCCAAGATTGAATGGAAGGGGGTAAAAATCAGTTCTGGGGAGGGAAGGGAAAGATTTCTAAAAACTTTCAGACCCCCAACTCATACAACTCTCCTCTCCTGTAAGTAGACAATGTACTTTACAGTGGAATAAGAGGTTATCTGTCATGAACCTGTCAATTATTGGTGAGCCTCAGAGGCTTTCACAGGGCCTTTCTTCTCTTTTATGTCCTCTTTTATATTGTTTTTATCAGCTCCCAGTGTTTTAACCATCATCTCTAGGAAGGTAAATCTCAAACATATATCCAACACAAATCTGGAATCCAATCCAACTGTCTGCTAGAATTTTCTCCTTGAAGTAGAGTTGTTGTTGTAGTTGCTTTCCAGTCATATCTGACTCTTCATGACCCCATTTGGGGTTTTCTTGGCAAAGATATGGGAGTGGTTTACCATTTCCTTCTCCAGCTCATTTTACAGATGAGGAAACTGAAGCAGAAAGGGTTAAGTGACTTGTCCAGGGTCACACAGCTGGTAAGTGTCTGAGGCCAGATTTGAACTCAGGAAAATGAGTCTTTCTGATTCCAGGCCTGGTGCTCTATACATTGGGTCACTTAGCTGCCCTGAAGTACCATAAGCATCTTTTATTCAATATGTTCCAAACAGAACTCATTATCTTCCCCCACCTCTTCCATTCAACCCTCCACCAAAAATTCCTTATTTCTAACGAAGGTATCACCATCTTTCCAGTCAGGCAGATTTGCAACATTAGTGTCATCTTTAACTCTTTCTTCTCCCTTATTTCCAAAGCACTCCCTCTAAGTTAATCCACAACTCATATTCATAGGTAGGGTCATTGGGGTAACAACTAACTCAGATTCTCTGTGGGTCTACACTCCAAAAACAAACTCACAAGGCCCACTGACGTTTATTTTTTTTATTAGTCAACTAGAAGACATTAATTCACTCAAAGCAAAGGCATGTATTGGAATATCATAATGACAAAATATCATTCCAATTAACCTAGGACACACTCTTCTACAGAGGAGGAAGAGTGAACACAGAGGTTATAAGCTGAGAGAGGCACACTTGTAGAGAACATGCACAGTGAGATGCATGTGATGGGCACAAGTCATACCTCTGATGCTAGAAGAACTGCAGATCTCTTTCCACTGAGCTTGATGACTTTGCTCTCATAGTCTCCACTAGATTCTGTGTTGCTGCTATTTACATTGGACAATCTTCTACTGGAGTTTTCCAGATGCTGCATACAAATAGATACAACTTCAGTGCTTCACCACCTCTATCTTCCTGTTTCAGCTACTCTGTACAAGAGCTGGACCCCACCTCCCCACATCCCACTGGAATTAGGATAAATCTTGCCACTGGGGCCTACCATCCCCTGAAGAGGATCCCAACTCAGTCCATCCTTTACTCAACTATCAAATTGATTTTCCTAAAGTGTAGGTCTGACCATGTCAGATACCCTTCCCAGTCTCTCATTCAATACACTCCAGTGGCTCCCTATTACCTCCAAAAGCAAATATAAAATCCTGTTTGGCTTTTAATACTCTTCATAATCTACCTTTTTAAATATATTACTCCCGGTCACATACTTTGTGATCTAGTGACACTGGCCTCCTTGCTGTTCCTCCCACAAACAACTCATCTCCCAACTGAAGGCATTTTTACTGGTTTTTCCCCATGCCAGAAAAGTTCTCCTTCCTTATCTCCACCTCCTGGTTTCCCTAGATGCCCTCAAATTCCTTTTACAGAATCTTACCTTTTACAGAAAAGTTTTCCTGACCTCCCTTAATTTTAATGCCTTTCCTCTAAGCCTACTCTCACTTTATCCTACATACATCCATTGTAGATAGTTTTTTGCATGTTAAGACTCAGCTCCTTGAGAGCAGGGACTGTTTTTTGCTTTTTATTCCCAGTGTTCAGCACAGTACCTGGCACATAGTAGCTGCTTAATAGACACTCCCTACATCCACAGAAAGTCTATCTGAATATCTAATTAACTGGATACTCCATGCCCACTCTTATGCAGTTATCAATTAGAAATAATTTATTAAGTACCTACTCTGTGCTAGGCACTATGCTAAACTTTATGGATAGAAGGAGAGGTTTATTTTTCATTTTGTCTTTGGTGTCCTGAGCTATTACCACAAGGCTTCACACAGCATAGATGCTCATATTTTTCTCTTGTTCGTTTTTAAAATTAAAACAAAATTAATTTTCTTTCCTTCCCAGCTCCCAATTCTCCTCCAAAGGAAAAGTAAAACAAAACCTCAAACCCAGGATTCTTAACTTTTTTTTTTTTAAACTGTCCTGGACCTTTTAACAGTCTGGGGAGGAGGTCTAACGAGGCCTTCTTAGAATAACATTTTTAAATGAATAAAATACATAAGATTACAAAGGAAAACAATTATGTTAAAATGTTGTTATCAAAATGTTTTCTTAAAAACCAAGTACACGGACTCCAGCTTAAGAACTCTGGCCTTAAACGCTTAACAAGGTGTGGAAGTTACTAAAAGACTCCAGGCCACCTTCCAGTTGCCTCGCCTTTTCTTTCTAGTCATGCGCACAAATCTCGTCGGATCTTCGACTACATTTCCGGAAATACTGAGCCAAGACTCCGCTTCCGTCAGAATAAGGCAGGACTCTTAGTCGCGGTTGCCAAGGAAACGCTGATTGATGCTAAACAGAAGCGAGACGCACCGAAACACTCGATCCAGAAGTGGGGGCGGAGTTGAAGGAGAAGGGAGGGAAGAGCTGGGAGGCCTGTCCTCTGACGTCACTTCCGCTTCCTCTTCGCTTGCGCTCTGATGGCGTGGCTAATTCGACTTCCTTTTTCACTCTTCTTTGCTTCCTGTAGCGGCACCAGGAGCTGTGGCTCCTCTGGCCTTCGGCCCTCCCTCCGACCCAACGAGTCCCGCGGCCGCTCCTGGCGAGCCGAGCTGCCCCCAGGGATCGGGAGTGTGCGCTGAGCGGAGCCGGCTGCCAGGCCCTGCCTCGGGGGTCTTTGTGAGCGCGGGGCCGGCGATTCTCTTGGCAGGTGCCTGATCAGGCCCTTTCCTGAGCTAGCCGCCCCCCGCCGGCCCTTGAGCCTCTCTCGCTGCTCCCCGTCTGCGGGGAAGGAGAGCTGGCGCAGCCCCGGGTTCTGCTCCCCCTGAGCACCCGCCTGCCACGTCCTGGTCAGGCTCCCCGCGGTCCTCACAACGGCTTTGGGGCTGGAGCCGCAAGTGCTCCTCGTGTGCCTGGTCCTTGAACCCCCGGGGTCTGGGTTGTTCGTGAGCTCCCTCTGCGGAGGGTGGGGGGGGGCGGGAGGGACTGGTTCTGCCCATGGTCTGGAAGGGGCAAGGTAGTCTAATGCTTGTCTTGGGCCGTTTTTCTTTCCCAGTTCTGCCTTCTGAGCCCTCTGCCCTTCTCCAGGGTGGGAATGGCCCCTGTATACCTGACAGCGCCAGGCTGCAAAGTGAGTTGTTTGTTCTTTCCGGGAATTTTGCCTCAGTCCTCAAGGGGAGGTTTAAATTCCCAAATGAGTCATTTCAAACTTTTAAGTACTTTGTACATTTAGAGAAGGAAGATAACATAGGGTCTAGCTGTGCATCTGAATTTTTTTCCTTCATAGCAGTCTTCTCTCATAGAGCTGACATTGGATTTACAGTACAAAATAAAATAAAATACAAAAGGTAAGGTAGAGGAAAAAGTTCAGATAAGATTTAACTGGCCACTATTTCTGGGGTATAACATGGGGGAAAACAAGTAATCAAGACAGTTGTTGTAATACAAATTTAAGTGTTTGGATTAAATTTTTTGTTAAAATTTAACATTGTGAGAATGGCTATTTATGGGATTATACAGTGTTAAGCTACAATCTATTTTAGAATTAAGTTGGGAGGCACTGTGGTGAAGTGGGTGAAATGTTGACGTGGATCCAGGAAGACCTGGGTTCCAGTTCTGCTTCTTAATACTGTGAAGATTTTCAAGTTTTTAACATTGGGCCTCACTTTTCTCATTTGTAAACTAGGGGAGGTAATTCCTACAGTACAAACATGACAGGGTTTTTACCAAGTTCAAATGAGATGATATTAGCTATTTAAATGTATGCTACTAATATTAAAGAGTAAAAAGTCATCTACAGGATAGCTTTAGTATTATTGAATTAGGATGAAATGGTGCAACAAAGAAGAAATGACACTAGAGAATGTTAATAGAAATGATATTTAATAGTTAATGGAGGATGATTGCTTTGTAACCTCTCAAGAGTCAGTTATACTTGGAGTGTGATGATGGATATTAGTGTTGTGTACTTAATCATGAGACTGTTATTAAATTATCAATATTTGAAGGAAGTATATGATTCATGTGTGCTCACTTACAGAGGTGGTTGTGATTGTGCTATGGGACTTAGCCTTTTTTAGTCCCAATTTTCTCTTTTATTTCAAATGACAATAAATTCTTGCATTTGTTTCACAGGGTTTTTGTAAAAAAAAAAAATACTTCATAAGCCAAACTCATGCAGTCTACAATGTAAGCTGTTATAGTTGTTTGTACATAATAAAAAATATATATAGTTGGTACTCACTATACATTTGACTTCAAACCACTCCCTAAAATTCTTTCCCAATTTGCTGTTCCCTGAAGGTCCAAAAGGAATCAGTAACATTTAAGGACGTGACTGTGCATTTTACGCAGGAAGAGTGGGGAAACCTGGACCCTTCTCAGAAGGAGTTGTACAAGGATGTGATGTTAGAGAATTACAAGAACCTTGTCTTCCTAGGTAAGAAGAGCTGTCCTCTGTGACTCAGATTGTTTCCATAGTTGTGTCTTTCTTAATACACCTAACTAAATCAGAATTTCCTATGTGGTAAGTATTTGAAAATTAGTGTTTGCTATTCGGAAACTAGTTTGCTAATTCTCTTGTGGCCATTGATGGAACAGAAGTTGCTCCTTGATCTCAAGTGAAAGGCCTTAACTGTGTACAGCTTGAAACTGGGTGGTTGTTTGTGTTGCCTCTGAGTTGTGCTTTCCCATTCTCTGTCCTTTCAGGTCAAAGATTCTCCCCTGTAGTTCCATTACAGGTACCTGAGGACAAGAAAGTTTCATCCTCTTACTGGGAGTGGTTCAAAACTAATTTTCTTTGGGATCACTAGTCTGTATATCTCAGGAATGCAATGCAGTGGATTTTTTCAGAGGTTCTCTATACCATCCTTTGGTCTTTCTTAGCATGCCTCTTCACCCTACATAATAAGTTACTGGTGATAGAATAACAGACCTCTGTCTTCAATGCATTTCTGTTTCTAATGAGCAGGACTTACAGTTTGGAAACCAGATGTGATCTCCCATTTGGAAGAAGGAGAAACTCCTTGGATACAGGACCCAGAGGTACTTTGGAGCACCTCTCCAGGTGAGACATTGGAAACCAGGCATATGAGAGTCATCGTAAGCCATATTTTCACTGGTCTTTTGGGGGATGTGCCAATGATACGCTGGACTTTGACACCTTCTTAAAGGACCCTATGTCTCTGGACCAGAGCTGAGGCTATCTGGCATGAGCTGTCAGCAAATCTCTTTGTTAACATCTTTCCACTCTTAGGTACCTCCAATTTTGGGGAAAGAGTTTCCTTCAATCAGAAATGTATTGTTCTCTTCTGTTTTTACTTTGGATTATCTAAATCCCAACAACCATTCTTTTGCTTTGTTTCCAGTGATGATTCTTTTTTAAAATATGTGTATTAATTTTAATTTAAAAATAAGGGAAAACATCCTATTTTTCTCTATATTCTCTTTTCATCTGTTTTTCCTCCATGTTCTCTAGAATTAATATTCTGTTTTTCATGTAATTGTGATAGTGTATATTCTCATTCTGCATTCCCTGCATAGGGTTTCCTGGTTTTATGTTCTTAAGAAATGACAATGATAATGGTATAATGATTATCCAATTTTACTTACCCACAATCTTTTCAGCCATTCTCCAAGGATAGGTCATTTCAGGCTGGATTTTTGTTATCAGAAATAGAACCTCTGAGTATTTGTATAGAGAGATTTTTCAATAATATACATAGGTTTACTATTAATTTGAGGCAGTGAGGGGACATAGAGCACTGGAATTAGAATCAAGAAAATCTGAGTTCAAATCTTTTCTCAGTTTAGCTGTGTGATCCCAGGTAAATATCACTTAACCTCTCTGTGCCTCAGTATTGTCATCTATAAAATAAGGAAATTGAACTTAATGGCCTCCAACATTTCTTTGAACTCTAAATCTCTGATGCTATGATCCTATAAATAGTGCGATCACTAGATCAAAAGGCATAACTGGTTTTGTTGCTTTTCCTATCTGTCTTGCTTTTTAAAAGATTATTCAGTAATTATTAAGTAAAGTATTTGTGCTGTTCTATAGTATTGCAGAGTTGTTTCCACATACAACTTTCTATACGTAAGAGGGTTTGAACAGGTTGGGTGTTGATAATTTTGTTTCTAGAACTGCCTTTTTGTGCGCTTTGACCTTGTATCCATGGGGTAATAAAACCATCTAAATGGTCCATTCCTTAGACTTTAGATGTCTGGTTTTTAATAGAAAGATTCATGGAAAAGATTTTCCCTATTCTCTTTCTTACCTTTTTAGATATCTAAAACTCAACATGTCTTAAGAAGTCATCATCTTTTCCCTCAAATCCTCCATTCTAACAGACTTCCTTCCCTAATAGTGTGCCCTTCTACTTATCCATTCTCCCAGAGTCAGTGTCTTTCTCCAGGCTTCTCCCAAATTCACTCCACATAACCAGTCTGTTGTCAAATCTTGACATTTCTATTCCAAAAGCATCTCTTATATACTTCCTTTCTCTCTGCTCACAGAGGCTTATATCACCTCTTGCGTGAACTTTTTCAGTAGACCAACCAGGGTTGGTCTTCCTGTATCATGGCTCCCCTCACTCCAGTCCATCTTCCACTCAGATGTCAAAATATTCTTCTTAAAACACAGGTTGCCTGCCATGTTATCCTTGTTATCATGTTACCATGTTTACGTGCTGAATAAACTTAAGTGGCATGCTCTAGGATCAAATATTAAAAAATCTTCTTGACTTTTAAAGCCATTCGTAAATTGTTTTCTTAGCTTCTTTACTTCACCCTGCATTAGTTCATGTAGATCTTTTTATGCTTCTCTGTGTTCATCATTTCTTACGTCACAGTAATATTCCATTACATTTGTGTATCACAGTTTGTTTAGCCATTCCCTGATCAGTGGTCATCTTTATCCAATTTTTAGCAGTCACAAGAAGTGCTCCTAAAAAGTGCTCCTATATTTATATTATCATTTATATAAATATAGGAGCACTTTTTGTGATGGCTGAAAATTGGATAAATTTTGTTACATATGGGGACTTTCTTTTTTTCACTGGCCTCCTTGAGTTTATAACCTAGTAGTGAGACCTCTAGGTCAAAGAGTTTGGATAGTTTAGTTTGTTTTCATAATTCCAAATTCCTTTCCAAAATGGTTTTACTGATTCACAGCTCCATTAACAAGACACTCGTGTGCCTGTTCTCCCCAAATTCTTCCAACATGGACTATTCCCTTTTTTTGTCATTTTTACCAGTTTGTAATCTGAAGAATCAAGATTGTTTTGATTTGTATTTTTCTCCTTTTTATTTATTTAGAGCATTCTTTCATGCAGTTAATAGTTTGTAAATGAAAGAATGAATAAATAAAATATTTATTAAGTGCTTGATATGTGCAAAGCACTATGCTAAGTGCTAGAGATATAACCAGAAAAGTAAGAGAGGCCCTTCTCTCAAAGAGTTCACATTCCAATGGAGGAGATAACATATGTGGAAGTTTCTACCTACATGTCAGGTGGAAAAGTCCTGTGGTCCTTGGGTTTTTGTTTCTTTTTTAAAGTTGATGACCTCCTTGGGATTTATGCATAGTGGTAAAGTCTCTTGGTCAAAGGGTGTAGACATTTTAGTCACTTTATCTGCATAATTTCAAGGTGCTTTCCAACATGGTGGTATGAATTCACAGGTCTGCCAGTAGGCATGACTTTACCTGTTTTTCTGCAAATCTTCCAACATTAACTATTCTCATCTTTTGTTATCTTTGCCAGTTTATTGAGTGTGAGGTGAAACCTTGGGATCGTTTTGATTTTCATTTCTCTCATTAGTACTTTGAAGCATTCTTTCACATTGTTGTCAGTATTTCTCACTTTATCCGACTCTTTGTTCCTATAGTATCCTTATAGGGACTTACTTTTTGTCAGCTATTTCTTTCATTTTGTCTATATATTTTGGATCACACTCCTCCTACTAGTAGGAGAGAAACACCATTCTATAGTACTCCATAGACTATCTTACCTTCTTCCTTCCCTACTAAGACAGAAAAACCACTCTACCACAGTCCTTCCACTGGAATCCTCGTCTAGCTTGCTTGGTGGGAAAGGGAGAAATGCTGTTCCATCCTCCTTCCTCCAGGTCACTAGCCCTAAGTCTTGTCCCCATTTAGGTACCTCTACCCCTTTTTAGCTATACATTACTGCTGAAAACCCTGAGAGAACTCTGCTCAGAGGTCAGTCCCTAAGTTGATTAACTTAACTGAAATCATTCCTCAGTGATTAACAAACTCCTACCCCATTATACTCTCCCTATCCCAGTGATCCTGAAATTCTACCTGTGATTATTCAAACCCCTTTCTCTGTCCCCCACTACCTTCTCCCTTATTTCCATATCCCTCAATTCTAAGCTCCCTAACTTCCCCCCCTAAAGCTACCCATCCCTTCCACTCTATTATCTGGACTGGCTGGTCCATATGTAACAAACTTGTTTCCATAATAAGTCTTTTCCTTTCCCTCACCTTCTGTCTTCTGGCTCTCAATGAAATTTGGCACCCTCCTGATGACACATCCTCATTGACAATCCTTTTCCTTACTGGTTGTAGTTTCATTCGTATACCCCAATTTTTCAGTCTAGGTAGGAGTTAGAATATTCCTTGCTCCTCATTGCCACTTCCAGACTCTCTTTCTACCACCTTCACTCATTAACTTCTCCTTTGAGGTTCACTCAATCTATATTTACCACCCAATCAAGATTCTTATAACACTAGTTCACTTGGCTTCTTTCTTCATTGAGTGCAGTACCTGTCTCACAGTCTTTCTTTCCTCCCTATCTCCTCTCCGTGTTATAGGGGACTTCAGCATACATATTGATAATCCATCAAATACCCTAACCTCATAGTTTCTTAACTTACTCATTTCCTGTGACCAATATTCTTCCACTCCACCTCAGATACATACAGAGGTCATACTTTTGAACTTGCTGTCGCCCACAGATTTCCAATTCCATGTTCATAAACTCTGAAATCCTTTTATCTGATCATCTTTAATCATTCCTTATTTTCCACCTTGCAGCTGCAAACCCTGTTCTTCATTTTCATTGTGATTTCTAATCCCATCCTTCAGTTCTTTTCCCAGACCATCACTCCTGCATTGACTACACTTTCTTCCTTTCCCCTAAATGACCCCGTGGTAAATCATTTCAGCTTTACACTATCTTCTTTTTTTGAGTCTTTCCTCCTTATCCCATGTGCTGATTTTATTCTGGTAAGCCCCAGCCTTGGATTATTCTCGCCATCCTAAGAAAATCGTGAGACCGTGTTGACATTGTCCACTATGAATTTATTTTACATAATCTTATGTGGGCCCTTACTGTGGCAAGGCAGTCCTTCTAAACCTTTCTAATGAACTCACTATTCCATTTGCTACCTTTTCCAAACATTTTCATCTTTTCCTCAAGCCTCCTATAGTGCCCTTCCCCCAACCTTCTCAGTTTGCCTAGTATTAATTTTTTTTTTAAGAAACAAGAATGCTTTCATTTATTTGTTGAATAATAGAAATCTGTGGTTTGAGATATTCCAGTCAATGAAGGAGGAAGGGACAATAATAAGACAATGTCAGAAGACAAACTATATTTGTTACTTACTTATAAATATTTCTGAATAAATTGTTAAAATTCAATGTCAAGAAATGCAAATATGCCACTAATTTTTGTTTTGTTTTTTTAACTCAGTATAAATTCTTTTGATGTTTAGTAAGGTTTGTGTAGGGGATTTATGAGATTTTTTTTATGTTTCTATAGATTCTCTTTAGTAAAAATCCTCTGGTGTTGAACAAGGTTTGAGTTTTTACAGGTTTTATCATGTTTGTTATTTTTGTTCTTAAAAATAAAATTTAGGCATCTTTTGTTTTTACATTGCCTAAATTTTTGATCATAGCCCTTCCACTTCCAGAGAGCTATCGCATACAACGTTGAATATATTTTAAGAAGAAAAATAGGAGGAGAAAAAACAGTCATCAAAGCCAATAAATACATAGGGAAAAAAATCTGAAAATATAGGGATTGTTCAATACCTATGAACCT